CGCCGTCCTCCGCGCGCCGCGCCCTCTGGGCCACGGGGGTTGGGCCGGGCCGCGGTCCCCCGAGTGACGTGCTCATCGCCGCCGCCGCCGCACTTGAGCCTAGTTGGGGCTGGATTTCCTTTTTTAAGGTGTTTTAAGTCTCATCTCTGCAGCCGGTGAAAGCGTGGCTTGTTCTCCCAGCCGCGGCCACATGGAGCTGGGAATCGAGTTGTGGAATTTCGCTTAATTCCCCCCCTCCCACCCCCGCTCCTCTTTCCCTGTAGTTTTAAGTAAAAGCGGCGGCTGAGAGGGCGTTTGGTAACTAGGCACGTGTCGGGATCTTGGTAGGACTCAGGCTGTACTTTACAATCCAGCCACTAGATCCCTTTTCTTTTTTGAGAGGATCTCGCTGTGTAACCTTGGCTGGCCTCGAATTCACAAAGAACCTCCTGCCTCTGCCTCCCGAGTAACTGGGATTAAAGGTTTGTGTTACTACTTCCTGCAATTAAAAAACAAAAAACAAAACAAAACAAAAAACACATTTTCTTTGTGGGTTTGCCCGCGATCCTGTCTACGAATTCGGGTGGTTGGAGGACAACTTTCGGGAGTTCTCCTTCCGTGTGGGCCTGGAGAATCAGACTCAGGTCGTCAGGGCTGACTGCAGGTGCATTTACCGGCTGAAGAATCCTGGTGGCCCTTGATCTCTTTTTTTCCTAGTCTGAAACCTGTTTATCAAGATCTCTAGTTAATCAGATGTTTTGCATGTTCCTTGACCAGCTGAGGAATCCTGATGGCCCTTGATCCCTTTTTTCCTAGTCTGAAACCTGTTAACCAAGAACTCTAATTAATCGGATGTTACTTCTTCCACAGGATGAAGATGAGTGGAAAGAATTTGAGCAAAAAGAGGTTGATTACAGCGGACTAAGAGTTCAGGCAATGCAAATAAGGTAGGGTGTGATTACATGTGGGATTAGATAGCCCTGTTGGAGATAAAAGTATTGGACACGTTTTCTTCAGGCCCAACTCCTGGTTTTGAGCAAAGGCAGTCCCCTGGTGTCATTAAATTAGCTGGGAGCTCAAATTCTGCGAGAGTTTCCCTACTTGCAGCTGTTTGGATCTTTACTTGAGTTGACTAAAATGGATTTTGTCATTTTTAATTTTTAACACTCAACAGTATTAAATATTTGGTGGCCACCCCTTCCCCCAATAGCTGCACCTGTAGCTCATACTGCTCTGAGAAATTGCTGTGTAGCCGAGGATAACCTTGAGCTATTTTTTTAAGCGTATGAGTGTTTTACCTGTGTGTAGGTCTGCAGCATCCTCGGGAATTGGAGTTACAGCTGTTAGCTTGGTACTGGGATCTGTGCCCTGGTCCTCTGGAAGAGCACTGAGCCAGCACTGACCTTGAACTCTTGATCCTTTACACCTAAATACACCACCAAACTAAGTGCTGTGCTTACACTTAGTTTTTCTCCTTTACTTCTCTCTCTTTCTTAAGTGTTTTGCTGTGGGTGCCAGGTCCCCTGGAACTGGAGTTACAGACAGTTTTGAGCTTCATGTGGGTGCTGGGAATTGAACTCAGAACCTCTGGAAGAGCAGTCTGAGCTCTTAACCACTGAAAAAGCCCCTTATTTATTTTTTTTTGTAAAGAATTTTTTTTTCTTGTTCTAAAACCAGTAAACAAGTTGATAAATTTTTGCGATTGAAGTGTAGGGTAATTCTAGACAGGGATTTGTATTCACAGTGATACCATGTTGTCTACTCAAGCCCCAGTGAAGACCCCAGTGAAGAACTTGAACATCTGGGCTCTCCTGAAGCCGTGCTTTCTTTCACTGCCTTCTTCCCCAAGAATAACCACTGTCTTAGCACAGCACAGCAATCCCTTTAGGATTCTAGAGGAATGGGATTGTAGATCCTAAGCACTTACCTGTGTATCCCAGGATCACCTTTTGAAGGCTTATCCCATCCCCTCAGCTACCAGGAACCCCTACAGACCCGTGCTGCAGATTCTGGCTTTGAAGTATCTCCGTGTCTTTCAAAGTTCGATTGGTTGACTGAGACTTTAAATTGAGAGCCTGCATTGTTAGATTCAGTCTGTGGTAGTTCTAAGTCTTTTCTAAAGTGAGGTGTTTTGAAAGATTTTTAAGTAGAAAAGGTAAGTATAGGGTTCTGTTGTTTTAAGATTCAAAATCCTTGACTTATTTTACACAAACAAAATGATCTTAAATTGCCTTTGATTAGAAGCTTCCAATTCGTAGAGAATTCCGGTGACCATATGGGAAATATTTGAGTTGAGGAAATATTTTTTAACTCTAAACTGTCTTTTGAAATTTAGATCATAGTATTTATGATCTTAAAGTAACTTCTGTTGGAAGACCAGCTAGTATTTTAATGTACAGTTAATGTCTATACTACCCAGGCATTAATGTTCCTGGATGTTCTCCCGTCGTGTTGAGTTTACCAAAGGGAACATTCCTTTTGGTGTCAGGGAACTTAGTGTCTTTTTGGTGTGGCTTCTTTTGTGTTTTCTGTTTGCTTTCCTCTCTTTCTTTTAAAGATTTATTTTAATTATGTGTGTGAGTTAGGGTATGTACACGTGCCTGCAGATGCATGAGGGGGCCAGAAGAGGGCATTGAGTCCCTTGAAGCTGGAGTAAGAAGTAGTTGTGAACTGTCTCAGTTCTAGGAACTGAATTTGGATCCTCTGCAAGATCAGTATAGACTCTGAAGAGTATATTTTAGAAAATACCCCATTGGGCCTGGTGATCCAAAACCTAATTCCCAGCTACTCTGGAGGCTCAGGCAGGAAGATTAAGAAAAATGAGGCATGCCTGAGTTAGAGTGAGTTTAAGGTTACCTTGAGCAATTTAGTGAGACCCTATCTCAGAATTTAGAAGAAAAAGTAGATATTCCTGTTTCCTTTGTTCTGGGGCTTGATCTATAAATATGGAAGGAGTTTAGATTCCTTCTATCTAGGGTGGTTGGTAGACTGGATGTGGTCCAGTCCTGTGGTAAAATTAGGCTCTTGGGCTGCTCTTGTTCTGGAAGACTTGAGTGGTAATTTTTGGCCATGTTGAACTTCTGGTCAAAAGTAGTACTTTGTGAAGTGGGGGGAAAGGCTTCAAGTTTATTTGGTATAAAATTTGATTTTGTTAAGGTAGGGAGAATATTTAAACTGTTCTTCCAACAGAATATAAACACCTTGCCTGTTTCTGTTTTAACTTTTTTGGAGTCAGGAATTTGCGTTTGTATCTCAGGCTGGTCTTAAATTGGTTTGATTCTCTGCTTCAGCCATCTGAGTCCTAGGATTATAGGTATGGTGTACTACCAGGCCCAGCTTATTTTGGCAAGCCTCCCCTCCCCCTTCTCTCTTTCTTTGGTGGTAGTGCTGGGAGTCAGACACATGGTTCCATGCACCATAGGCAAGTGCTCGCCCATTGAGTCATAGCCTCAGCCCTAACTTTTGATTAACTTTTTTTTGGGGGGGGTTTTTTTTTTTGGGGCAGGATTTATATCTAAGCTAGTAAACTCCATATACAGTCAAGACTGATCTTACACTCCTTACCCTCCTGCCTTTACCTCCCAAGTGCTTGTTGTTTGCCGCTCTGTTTAAGACGTAGAGGCAGTCCACTGGGCCGTTGAGGTGGGCACTGTATTGTTTGCTCTAAAGTAGACTAGCTTTTCTGCTGTGTTGTTCATTGTTCTTAGCAGCAGCTTGTCATTGACCTTCAGTGGCCAATCTAGAAGCCTGCACTGATCTTTACTACGAGTTTACAGTCTAGGTGTGTTTTTAAAATTGGTGATTATTTTAGTTATTAAAAGTCTTGGGATGGGGTGAGAAAAATAGTATCCTGGCTGAATATGATGTATAATCCCAGAGTTGAGGCAGGAGGATCATGAGAGGATCAGAGACCAACCTTAACTACACTGGGAGAGATGTTGTCTTAAAAACAGAGATGAGGGCTGGAGAGATGGCTCAGAGGTTAAGAGCACTGACTGCTCTTCCAGAGGTCTTGAGTTCAATTCCCAGCAACCACATGGTGGCTCACAACCATCTGTAATGAGATCTGGCACCCTCATCTGTATACATAATAAATAAATAAATCTTTAGAAAAAAAATAAACAAAAAACAGATGACTTGATGCTGCTACTAAGCCAAATTGGAGTTTGGCAGTGTATGCCTGAGTGTTCACTCCCGTACATAAACTGGAATTTGAGGGCCAGAGGAGTCCATCTTCTTTCTCTCTACCTTGCTCTCTGAGATACGGTCTCTCGGTGGACCTGAGTCTCGCCACTTTTCTAGCCAGTAAGCCCCTAGGATCCACTGTCTGCCTCAAGTGCTGGGGTCACAGTGGCCATGTCTAGCTTTCAGATGAGTGCCAGGGATTTGAACTCTGCTCTTTTTACTTTTTGTTTTGTTTTTTTCAAGACAGGGTTTCTCTGTGTAGTTTTGGTGCCTGTCCTGGATCTCGCTCTGTATGTATACCAGGCTGGCCTGGAACTCGCAGAGATCCCCCTGGCTCTGCCTTCTGAGTGCTGGGATTAAAGGTGTGCGCCACCACCGCCCCGCTGGTCTTTTTACTTTTACAGCAAATGCTCTTACCAAATATTCAACTGAGCAATTGTGATTTAGTGCTTTGGTGAATAAATAGAATGTGAATGAATACTGAAAGCTCCTGCTTTAGTATATACAGATGTAAGTGCCATGAAGTCTGTGTGGGGATCTTCCCCTCTGGATAGATTAAGTTGTTGGGACATTGCTAGTCAGTTGTTTCTAGATGTGTACCTATTTCACCCCTGAAGCAATTACCATAGTGTAACTATTTAGATTTAGTTTCAAACTTTTAAAACAAAAAAAAACCCTTTTGAAGAAATTCTGAAGTTTGGACACCAACCACAGTTGGCTTGGGTAAATTGTAAACTTTATACCACAATTAATATGCTGTTAGAAAATTGTATCATGATATCTTGTCAACTTTTTAAGAGCCATTAGAAATAAAGCATCTAGCAATGTTTATGTGTCATATGGTCTTCTAGGTACTATATGGACTAGCTCATTTGCTCTTTATAATGGGTGTGTCATCTTTATTTTATCTAAAAGCAGGCTAGTGCCATCTTCAAAGCCTGACCAGACAATGACAGAGATGGCAGAAACTGGATTTCCATCAATTCCTGTGTTTTGGCATGCAAAAGTATTCATTGAAATTACATTTTAAGGAATTGCTGTAGATGTTTTTATATTTATGCTTCAGTTGACGGTTAAATGGCATGAATATAATTTGTTAGTGTAAGCCCAGCATCATTTTAGATGGCTTAATAGTTATATGTTAAAAGAGAAAATTATATGTTAAAAGAGAAAACTAGGCCTGAGGGTGGTGGCACATGCCTTTAATCCCAGCACTTGGGAGGCAGAGCCAGGTAGATCTCTGTGAGTTCAAGGCCAGCCTAGTCTACAGAGGGAGTTCCAGGACAGGCTCCAAAGCTACACAGAGAAGCCCTGTCTCGAGGGGGGGAAAAAAAAGGAAAACTAAAGTTTGGATTGACCATATCCTTCACCTGTTTTTCCTTTGTTTTTAAAAACATTATTGTGTGAGCATGCTGTGGCATGCATGTCAGAAGACAGCTGTCAGGAGTTGATTCTTTTCTTCCACCTTCTTGGGGATTAAACTCCGGTGTAAGACGAATTGCTAAACAGTCTTTTTTTTTTTTTAAAGATTTATTTTTATTTATTATGTATACAGTGTTCTGTCTGCATGTGTCCTTGCAGGCCAGAAGAGGGCACCAGATCTCATTACAAGTGGTTGTGAGCCACCATGTGGTTGCTGGGAATTGAACTCAGGACCTCTGGAAGAGCAGTCGGTGCTCTTAACCATTGAGCCATCTCTCCAGCCCGCTAAACAGTCTTAATAAAAAACCTGGAGCCAGATATTGGGGTGAAAGCTGAAAGATCAGAGGGACAGATCAAGCCAGCCACAAGTTCTTACCGCTAGGAAATCCTCAGCCGAAGAGAGAGCTACTTCCTGTATACTCACACCTTATATACCTGTCTGTGCCCTGCCCTCTTACTTCCTCTCTCTGCCCAGCTACGTCACTTCCTATCTGTCCAGACCTCTAGACCTCTACGGTTAACTAGTGCTGGGATTAAAGGTGTGTGCCACCATACCTGGCTCTGTTCCCAGTGTGGCCTTGAACTCAAGAGATTGGATGAATCTGCCTCCCAAATGCTACCACTGCCTGACCTCCATGTTTAATATAGTGGCTGGCTTTGTCCTTAGATCCCCAGGCAAGCTTTATTTGTTAGAGCACAAATAAAATATCACCACACTCTGGTCCTTAGGCTTGGTGGCAAGTGCCATCTACTCCTGTAATCTTTTATTTATGGAGAAGGCACCGCCGAAGTCACCATTCTCCTGTCTTTTGTGTGCTGAGGTCACCACACTTAAGTCCCCAAATAGGTGATTACATCTGTGCTTTTGTTTTTTCTTTTCAGAATTGGGGATCTTGGCCAGAACAATGCACTTGTTACTAAGCTATGTCCCTAGCCCCTGAGAGACGGTCTTAAATGTAGATAGAAGATGAGGTTGCTCCTGTCAGTGGGCATCGTAGGTCTTTAAATACTGTGGTTACTTCTAACTAGTGGGGGTAGTGTCTTTAAGGATCGTAATAAAGATGGGTATGGTGATTTACACCTTTATTTTCAGCACTTGGGAGATCAGCCAGGGCCATCCTTGGGTATGTACTGAGTTCAAGGCTAGCCTGGACTACCTGAGACCCTGCCTCATAAAGTCAAGTTAAAAAGGAGGTCAAAAAATTTGTCTTGGATTCAAAGTATGGCTTAGTTTAGCATACTTTGTAGCATACAAGAGAATTCAAGTTAGACCCACTCCCCACAAACAAGCAAACAAACCCCCAGATAGAAAGAACACTTAAACCTGATAAGCCAGAAGAAATTTGTCTTTAACAGCTAGGACACATTTTACTTTTATAGAAATATTCTTTTGGGGGCCCAGCAAGATGACCCATTGGGTAAAAGTGCTTGCTATTAAAGCTAATGACCTGGGTTTGCAGGTCCAGAACCCACATGGTGGAGAGAACTGCTTCTCAAAACTGTTCTTTGACTAAATGGCTGCACACTCCCATTGCCCCTAAAAAGTTTAGCTGGGCATGGTGGTACACACCTTTAGTCCCAGCAGAGCGAGGCAGAAAAAGGCATCTCTCTGAGATCTAGGTTAGCCTTGCCTTGTCTACATCTGGTTCCATGCAGTCAGGGCTGTGTAGTGTGACCATATTTCAAAAAAAAAAAAAAAACAGTCCTTTTGTAGATGCTTCCTATGGTGGTACATTAATCTACTCCCAGGACTTAGGAAGTTAAATGTACTTGTTTGTTTTTCTAACAGTGAAAAGGAAGATGATGATAATGAAAAGAGAGAAGATCCAGGAGATAACTGGGAAGAAGGTGGAGGTGGTAGTGGAGTAGAAAAATCTTCAGGTCCCTGGAATAAAACAGCTCCGGTACAAGCGCCTCCTGCTCCAGTAATAGGTAATCCTCTGTTTTCCTTTCTAAAAGGGCTATTTTAATACGGTATATGTGCCTGTTGTGGGTGGGGGTGGGAACCTTATCATTTCTGGGAGAGGGGGAATCTGGACGTATCTGTTAAAGACCTAAATGGAAGAAATGTAAAAATTGAGTGGCATAATTTCATCTGGTAGGCTGTCAAAGTTTTGTTTTTGTTTTTGGTGCTAGGGAATGAAGCCAGGTAGTTTACCTGCTAGCAAGCATGCTATCACTAAATTACATCCTTGGTGCTACTCTTAGGTCTTGAAGCCTGGATTCTCAGCAGGACTTTATGAAGGGAGTAAAAGTTCTTTGAAATTAAAAAAGTCTTAGGGATATACATGTTGTGTGTGTTGTGCATGTGTGTTTGCATATTAGTACAGGTGCTGGTGGGTGGGTGGAAGCTTGTCATTAACATTGTCCAGTTAATTTGTTGAGGGTAGGGTCTCAAGGAAGCAGGAACTCAAACCCAATTGCAGTTAGCCTAGCTAGCCAGCTTGCTTTTTGTAATCCTGTTTCTGCCTCTAGTGAGGGATTACAGATGACTGCCCTGCCTATTTAGCTTTTACATGGGTGTGCTCTCTGGTCCTTACACTTGCTCAACAAATGCTATATCCACTGAGCCATTTCTGCAGCCCAAAGTTTTTTGATTATTTTTTGTGTGCTAGAAATTGAACTAAGGGCCTTGCACATGCTAAATGTATGTAAAAGTGCTTGCTATTGCATTTCCAGCTAAGAAAGAAATCTTAGGATTTTGTTTATTTTGAAACACCATTTTATGTAGCTCATGCTGGCCTCAATTCTTTCTTTGTAGCAGCGATGACCTCATGCCACCACCACCCCCTCCAATTTAAAATTGGAATTACACGGGTATAAGCTTTCCTGGCAACTTTGCTAATTGAAAATATTTTTTAAGCTGGGCAGGTGGTGGCGCACACCTTTAATCCCAGCACTTGGGAGGCAGAGGCAGGCGGATCTGAGTTCAAGGCCAGCCTGGGCTACAGACTGAGTTCCAGGAAAGGTGCCAAAGCTACAGAGAGAAACCCTGTCTTGGAAAAAACAAAACAAAACAAAACCTTTTTTTAAAAATTGTTTTAATTCTTTGAGAATATCATACAGTATGTTTTGGTGTAATATTCATCCCCACCCCTCCAAGACCCACCAGTCACTCTTGCTTTTTGAGACAGGGTCTCACTATGCAGCCCAGACTAGCTTCAGATTGTATATGCATGGGTGTTGTGTGTTATGTCTTTATGTGGGTGTGGCTATTGAGGCCCAGAGGCTGACTTTATGTCTCTTCCTCTGTCACCTACATCTTATGTTTGGGACAAGTTGTCACGGAGTCTAGAGCTCACTGAATGGCTAGAGTAGCTGGCCAACTCTCTTCTGGGATCTTCTTTCTGTCAACGCCTACCTTCCCACCCAAGCCTGTGTTAGTTACAGGCACATGCTGCTGCCATGCCTGTTACTTTCTACAGGCGTAGATTATACCAGAAGGAACGCTTACTGCTTATTTACTAAGTATCTAAACTGCACTTGGGATAGGCACATGCTGCTGCCGTCTTATTTTCTTTTCATGAGTTCTGGTGGATGTGAATTTCAGTTCTCAATGCTTAGATGGCAAGCGCTTTATGACCGAACCATCTCCCAGCCTCTTGAGTGCTGAAGTGATTGGTGTGAATGAATTACCATGTAGTGCTGCTTGATTTTTCTCTCTTGAACTTGAGATAATCTTTCAGGCTACTCCTGGAACGCACCAGACACACAGCGTCTGGAGACTCTTTGTTCTTATGCTTCGGGGCTGCGATGTGTCAGGTGCCTGAAGCATTTTCTGTGAAAGGCCAAGATGGTAAATTCCGTGGGTGAGAGGACCTTGTGGTGGTCTCTGTTGTGCTGCTGTGGCATGGGAGCTAATATGGCTGTAACAGTGATGGGTGTAGCCATGTTCAAGTTGTTGGGCCAGAGTCAGCTTGTTTGCTGACATTTAATTTTATGTGTTTGCTTTCTTTTTTTTTTTTCCCTGACTTTTATTATTTGTGTCGTGTGTTTGTGATCCTTGAGGCCAGGTTTGTACAGAGAATGTCTTTACCTGCCAAGCCATCTTGCTGGCCTCCAGTTCTTTTCAAGTCTGCTTAATCACTGAAACCCTCCATAAGCCTTTTTTTAAAAATGCAGCTGCTTCGGGGCTGGAGAGGTGGCTCAGTAGTTAAGTGTACTAACCTCCTGCTTTCCTGGAGGACCAGAACTGTATCTCAGTACTCCTATCAGGGGATTCACAAACACCTATGACTAGCTCAAGGCATCCAACTCTTTACTGTCCACTCTGGGCATCTCTACACACACACACACACACACACACACACACACACCCTTTTTTTTTTTTTTTTTTTGTCTTCTCTAGAACGAACTGCCCAGTACTTTTGGGAGGTGAT